AAATGCTTACAACTTCAAATAGAAGAGAAACCTGTAAGATTTCATAACTTTTAGATTAATTCACAAATAACTCAGTGAATAATGCTTACATTACACTAATTAAAAGATAAAATTTTAAACGAAAATGAGCGAAATTTTCTTTCAAAAATACACTTTAAATTGTCAGTTATTACAAATTTAAACGCAGAAAATTTATGTCAATAGAAACATTTCAAATGCTTTAACAATCAATTTTAAAACCAATGACAGATGTCGCAAGAGATTCGACAATTGAGATTTACAGCGCTATCACCAAATGACAGATTATGACTTCATGCTTGGCAATACTATAAGAGATGGCTTACATAATTGTCTCTTGTGAGCTTTTTATTAGATTTGATTTAATTTTCATCAATGAGGTCACATTTACATACACCAAACTGTTTCGCTTCATTGGGCTACTCCTTCAATGATAGACAATATTATTAAGCCTAGGATATACGAAAGAACAAAAGAGCATGTTTCCGCTTCTTTTAATATCATCATAAGTAGTGGCAAATTTTGTGCAAAACACACGAAAATGTGCGTATCAATTGAAATGACGCAATGTGACAATGATGAAATCAGATGCAAAAAATTGTTTAAATTTCAAATTACCCAAAATAACTCCAACAAATATTGCAATGGAATTAATGCAATAAAAAAAGAGCATTCCCATAATATGTGCTAGTAGTGATTATCACTGTGATAAATGTGATAATCACTGTTAGTAAATGTGATAAGTTTTATAAGACCCAATTTGTCGTATAGCTATGGATTAAGTAAAAGGAAATTAAAAAAGAAAGAAGAAATTCGTTATTTCAAATAAAATTAGGAAAATGAGGTCATGATAAAAGGGAATATGACTATTTCATTAAAAGTTAGTAAATTCTATTATAATTTAACAACTCATTCATTCATTGATATGCGTAATTTAAACATAACTTGTTTAGGATCGAAATACAGTGAATAGAAAAGATTGACAAATGACAATAAATTATAATTGTAATAAATAACCATAATCCTATCATCATAATGTTGTTTATAAATGAAATAATGAATGCTATCTTTCGGAGCGGGAAAGAATTCTCAGAAATGGCAAACAGAGAAAATTCCGGAGAATGGCGGGTGGAGCAGAATTATTGCTTCCTGTGCTCATTTCTATGATATTATTAATATTGTTGTATTCAAACAGCAGGAATGAAATATTACAAAATTAAGTCAGTAAATTTAATAATTAACTTTTGTTTCTTTTTCTTTTTTTTTTTGCTAAGCTATTCTTTATACTTTAGTAAAGTGAATCACATAATCGAGAAGAAGTGGAAAAGTAAAAGGAAAGAATTCAATGAAGCATTCATTGCAAAATAAAAAAAGTGAATGCTTGTCAAAAAGAATGTAAAAATGAATTATAAATGAGAACCAATGAAAAGTGATATAAGTGAAGAAGTAAACTAATTTAAATTTTGTTTATGTCCTAAAATGTAAACAAACAGGCGGGAATATTTACTGGAATGATTAATGTTTTATGAGAAGAATTTTTAAATTATTTGAATGGATGAGAAATAATTTTGCAAAATTTTCATCGTAAATTAAAATTTGTATTGAATATGTACAAAAAATGGTTGAAATGTGCGGCTAATTTAATTAAGACTTTTTGTTGTAATTGTGAATTTTGATTTTCGCTATTTTTCTTAAATGGCATTATCAAAATAAAATAATCACAGGAATATTGATATGCAAATGAAATAAAGAAAAAAAAAAGCATTTGCTGATAATTGCTAAAGGCAAAATGCAAATAACCGATAGTAATCCAACAATTAAAGCTTATATGCCAATGCCTCATTGGTTATCATCTGCCGTGGAAAAGGAGAAATTAAAGTTTTAATGGAAAAAAAATTTCAAAATGAAATCAGTTAATTATATCATTTCTAAATTGTAATAAATAGTGAAAAATTGATTAATGAAATTTAAAATTGTATATAGCAGAAGATTCTTACAGAATTTCTACTAATTAAAGCTATTGCATAATTAATTGAAATATAAACATATCAATTTTTATGTATTAATTGATAACTGATAAATTTAAGGAGAAATATCATAAAACTGTTGAAAATGACGACATAAGCAATATGCGATAAGTAATGAAATAATGAATTAATAATAGTTTCAAAAATGGTTTACACATAAAATTTCATAAAATTTCTGTATTAATGAACTGTTGATTTTTATCTTTTGCAACTAAAAGTTGCAAAAGTTTCTAACTTTTACAAATTTTAGTTGTAAAAAATAAAAATTAACAGTTCATTATTACAAAACTTTGAGATATTTCATTTCAATTTGGTGTAAACGAATATGTCGTTACGAAATTAATCGAACTGTATTTGATTTCCAATTATTCCTATCAATTAATCAATAATATTAGCTTCCTATTTGATGATTTGCTTGCATAATATCACTCGCCTCATGAATAAACATTTGCTATTATATTGATGACTCACTGAATTGATACTTTTAAAACAATTAGAGAATTAATTCGAGCTAAAATGAAATATATGGATATTTTTAAAATGACAACAATTAAAATTAAGTGATAACATAAAGAGTAAAAACAACTAAGCATTAATGGGAATATTAGGATCAATGAAAATGGATATACTGTAATTGATGACCGAAATTTGTACGAATAATTAATGATTACGAATGGATCAATTATAAGATAGTAGCAGTAACAATGGCTAAAAAGAGCATGGTAATTGAGGGGAAGTAGAGATTGATAAAATTTACGAAATATAATTGTAAATGTGATCGAGAGTAATCTAATAGATCTATAATAAAACAAATCTTTTTCATCATCCAAATATTTTCATGTTTGAAATTGGCAAAGAAAAAAACATTCTTCATATGAAATAGAAGGAAACCATTTTTTTTTTGATTAATTAGTTTTCCGTAAATTTGCAAAATAATTGTTAATAATTTTTAAAGTTTCATAAATTTGTGATTAGCAATTATAAATTTATGAAGAAAGTTAAAAAGTAGAAGATAAGTTAAATTGAATCCCTTTGCTAATTGAATTTTTTTAATAATAAAAATATAAATCTAACAAATAAAATATGGGCTTGAAGAATAATCAACAAAAAAAAATGACTTCCATAAACTCGCAAACACTTTAGAATGACTTCCTTTACTAATTGAAATTTAAATCAAAATACAAATCTAGTTAAAAAGAAAAAATCTTATATTTATAAACCTGAAAACTGATAAATAAAAAAGAATGGCTTCCTTCTATAGCATTTGCTATCTTACATATTATACAA